CCCTCCACGGGCGGGTGCCCGGCGATCTCGCCCCGCATGTTCTCCATGAGCTTCTCCAGCTGGGCGCCTGCGGACCGCCCCGGCGCACGTGAGGGGACCTGGTGGCATCCGGCCACCAAGCCAGCCCCATTTCCCGCTCTGTCCCCAGGAACCGCACTTTAATTAACGTGGGCTAATTAGCATGCTGGTAGGAGGAGGGTGTGCGTGCATGGTGCATGCAGGGTGGACAGGGTGAAGGGCACATGCGTGGCAGCAGGTTGCGGGGCACATGCGTGGTGGCAAGGCATGCAGGGCACAGGGCACATGCACGAAGTGCAGGGGACATGCATGGCACAGGATATATGGCTCATGCATGACTGCAGGATGCACGGCACATGCACGGTGGCAGGGTGCGTGCTGCAGGGCATAGGGCACATACATGGCACAAATGGCATGCAGGGTGAAGGGTGCAGGCATGATGGAAGGCTGCAGGGTGCTTGCATGGCAAGCAGGGCACAGGACGCACGCACAGTGCAGGGCACATGCATAATGTCAGGGTGCAGGGCACACACACGGTGTCAGGATGCGGGGCACACACACGGTGTCAGGGTGCAGGGCACACACATAGCACCAGGGTGCAGGACGCAGGGCACACAAACAGTGTCAGGATTCAGGACACAGGGCACACACATGATGTCAGGACAAAGGGCACACATATAGTGTCAGGATGCAGGGCATAGAGCACACACGGTGCAGGGCACAGGGCACACACATGGTGTAAGGGTGCAGGGCACAGGGCATACACATAATGTCAGGGTGCAGGGCATGAGGCACACACATGGCGTCAGGATGCAGGGCACACACATAGTGTCACGATGCAGGGCACACACACAGTGTCAGGATGCAGGGCACAGAGCACACACACGGTATCAGGACACAGGACACACGCTGTCACGGTGCAGGACACAGGGCACACAGTGTCAGGGCGCAGGGCACACACGGTGCAGGGCACAGGGCACACACATAGTGTCATGGTGCAGGACACACACATAGTGTCACAGTGCAGGGCACAGAGCACACACATGCTGTCAGGATGCAGGGCACACACACAGTGTCAGGATGCAGGACACACACACGGTGCAGGGCACAGGGCACACACATAGTGTCACGGTGCAGGGCACGGGGCACACACACGCTGTCAGGACACAGGGCACACACATAGTGTCACGGTGCAGGGCACAGGGTACACACACAGTGTCAGGGTGCAGGGCACACACATGATGTCAGGACACAGGGCACACACATCGTGTTAGGGTGCAGGGCACACACACAGTGTCAGGGCACAGGGCACACACGGTGCAGGGCACAGGGCGCACACACAGTGTCAGGGTGCAGGACACACACACAGTGTCAGGACACAGGGCGCACACATAGTGTCAGGGTGCAGGGCACAGGGTACACACACGCTGCCAGGACACAGGGCACACAGTGTCAGGATGCAGGGCACAGGGCACACACGGTGTCAGGGTGCAGAGCACACACATAGTGTCATGGTGCAGGACACGGGGCACAAACATAGTGTCAGGGTACAGGGCACACACACAGTGTCAGGATTCAGGACACAGGGCACACACAGTGTCAGGACACAGGGCACACACACGCTGTCACGGTGCAGGACACAGGGCACACACTGTGTCAGGGCGCAGGGCACACACACGGTGCAGGGCACAGGACACACACGGTGCAGGGCACAGAGCACACACACAGTGTCAGGACACAGTGCACACACACGCTGTCACCGTGCAGGACACAGGGCACACATGGTGTCAAGACACAGGGCACACACATAGTGCCAGGGCACGGGGCACACACGGTGTCAGGACACAGTGCAAGCAGCAGCGCCAGGAGCAGCCGCGCAGCACCGTGCGCCCAGCCCTACCCGTCTCCACGTCCTGCACGTAGAAGTGCAGGTCATCCGTGATCTCGGTGACGAACACGGCCTTGTAGTTGGCCGCGCGCTCCTTCTCCTCCAGCACCGGCACCACCTCCTCCACCGGCGCCTCCTCGTAGTGGGACCAGACCTAGGACAGCGGCGGCGCTGGCGGGGGTGGCAGGGGCGGGCGCTGCCGTCCCCGTGTCCCCGTCCCCGTCTCTCACCTTCTCCTTCCTCTGCTTGGCGGCCTCCTCGGCGGAGAGCAGAGATTTGTAGTAGGGGCTGCGCTCGGCGGTGAAGTGCACCTTGGAGAGGGCCTGCTCCACCAGGGCCACCGAGAGGTTGACGCCCTCGATGTGCAGCCAGCCGATGAAGTTGCCGGCCTTGTCCATGCTCTCCACCTCCACCTCCACCTGCGGGGCGACACGGAGCACCGGGGGCATTAACGGGAGCCAGGGGGGCGGGAGAGGGAGGGCGCGGGGCGGCACGGGGGCATGGCTGCTCCCTGGCACCCGGATCTGCTCCCTGGCACCCAGATCTGCTCCCTGCACGCCTGCAACTGCTCTCTGAGCACCCAAATCTGCTCCTGCTGCACCCAAATGTGATCCCTGCACGCCCGCATCTGCTCCCTGTGCACCCAAATCTGCTCCCTGCATGCCCGCATCTGCTCTCTGAGCACCCGAGTCTGCCCCCTGGCACCCAGATCTGATCCCTGCACGCCCGCATCTGCTCCCTGTGCACCCGAATCTGCTCCCTGGCATCCAAATCTGCTCCTGCTGCACCCAAATCTGCTCTCTGTGCACCTGAATCTGCTCCTTGGTACCCAAATCTGCTCTCTGCACACCCGCTCCCTGTGCACCCGAATCTGCTCCCTGGCATCCAAATCTGCTCCTGCTGCACCCAAATCTGCTCTCTGTGCACCTGAATCTGCTCCTTGGTACCCAAATCTGCTCTCTGCACACCCGCATCTGCTCCCTGCTCAACTGCATCTGCTCCCTGTGCACCTAAATCTGCTCCCTGCGCGCCCACATCTGCTCTCTGCGCACCCAAATCCGCTCCCTGGCACCCCAATCAGCTCACGCCA